AAAATTTTGAATTATATAAGAGTTCGCAAGTCTTCATTTTATTTCTCGCATCGAGCGGGGAACCCTACTAATCCCTTTTCAGTACTCTCTGTTCTAGTGGTAATTCAAACCAAAAGAAAACACAGATACCTTTCAAGGACCCGGGACATTTGGGTAACAGCCTCGAACCCGTGAATCACTTCAAAACTTCAAGACATATCGTCCAAAGAAATTGAACTGAACTGAACTGACCTGACCTTAGAAAATGAAACTTAACCTGAACGAACCTATGAGGTTTGCATTTAGATTTTCCGTTCGGGAGCCGCGGGTTTTGAATTTCTTATGTTCACTCTTGAGCTGGGCTTCTTATAACAGTGGAGGACCTAAAGCGCTCTTGGTTTTGTCTGTAGCAGTAGTGCGAGGTTGGAGTAATTATTTTCTCCATATTCCTTACAGTGCTGTTTGGTCGTCTCCTTCCAGGGGATTAGCACATGGACTCAACGAATGCCCTGCAGCAAAATAAGAAAAGGCGACTTCAATATGATAGAGTACGATGCAATAAATTTTTGGGTGCAATAAATTTTTAGGAAGCTCTTTTAGCAGTTAAGAAAAACGCCCCTCCAGCAGATTTGAGCATATATGATTCTTTGACTCGTGTTAATGCTGCCTCTGCATGCCAGAGGGGAGCACGAGGAAAAGCAAGAGCGTCCACCACATCCAAAGTACAGAATGGTAAGTATTAATATCTTTGAGACCGAATGAAACAGGTTGCACGAGAGACTCCAGCCACATAGTACTTGGTCCCCAAAAACGTACGTGGAACACTGGTTGCCATGTTTCTCATCCCAGTGGACGTGACACGGACCTCTACGGTTCTGGACCCCGGGGAGGTAAGGCAGGCTCAGACTATCGTTTCCCTGACAGGGGTTATCCTCGAGGGTCGAATGACTACAAACGAGACTTCCGTGGAGGACACAGTGTCTCCCGCGACAGGGGCGTGACTCGGCGTACCGATGGTGTAGCGTTCTGTCGTTCGCAGAACAAAGAGGACCGACATTTGAGAGATGGACGGATGTCATTCCAGGAGGAGCCAGAATGGTTTTCCGAAGGACCAACTACTGTGAGTGAGACCATCGAACTGGGTGGCATCTTGGAAGAATTTGACGACGATGCGTCAATTGCACAGCCTCGTCAGCAATCTGACGAAGTTGCTTGCGTTGGTGACAGGAAGTCGTCCACCGACAATGTGGAGTCGGAGTTAGAAAAGGAGTCTGACCTTGTCTCTACAAATTCAGGGGCTAGTAGAGATGAGTTTCAGGTTCCAGTGACTACCATTTCCCATCTTGATTTGTTCGATGCTCTGCAAATTCCAAAAACTACCACGTCCCAGGGAAGTCGTTTCAAACATCTGTTCGCTAAATCGGAAAGAGAAGCAGCGACACCCAAAAGTATTCCGTTATATTTCTGTGATATTTTCCTTAGACAATGTTAATGATCAACTTCTCCAACTTCTGAAAGGCTCTTCCACCCAAGGTTCATTGCAAGATAAGAATAATGGTAGTTTTGTCTTTCGATGAATATTTTCTTCTAGTTATTCAAGTAGAAAATAAGCTCCGTTCACTTCTTCTTGGGCACAATGGCCCGCGTGTGGAGGACAACCGGAATGTTTCCTCTGAAAACAAAAGTAAGTAATTGCGTTGGCCTACCCGAATGGTGCTTTTTTATGTCATAGTCTCGCATTAACTTAGAGCAGTGGTTTGCATGCGAGAGACTGTATCATTTGTCATTAGGGTTTAATATCTAAGTGCGAAAGTCGCGATTTCGGTTTTCTTCCATTAACATTTTTGAAGAGATCCATAAATGCAACAGACCGTTGGAAGGAGCTTCTTTCTTCATTATCCCGCTGTTTCTGTTACTACACCCGTGGAGTAATTCACACCAGTTTTGTCTCGATTTCCGTAGAATACTGACGGTATATCCTGTTTACTTCAGCAGACGACTGATTACGCGGAGTGCCTAACCACATCAGTTGGCGATAACTTCATCGGGGCCCAAGTCTTTTAGTTGGCAATAAGAGTTGTCCTTGTGGCACCTACTATGTTCGGTTCAGTTCATTTTGTGCAACCATAAACCATGCATTTTCGTGCACCTACAAGGTGGTTATCATCCAGTCATTATGCTTGGGCTGTGCTCGCCATCAAAGTAAGATCATCAACATTGCACAACGTAATACAGTGAAGCAAGCTTCACTGATCGCTGCCACACTCATATTGCATACAAGGTAAGTGAGAATGTGTAAGGAGGATAGGGATTGGACTTAATTCTAGGAACGGAAAGAGAAAGCGAACTTCTATGGTCAGTACACAAAGAGTACACAGTCCAACTGTGCACACATTTTTTTATTACACCCATGTGTGATAAACAGCAGGCGGGGTACACTCCGAAGTCACGAGAACCTGCTGTTCGGTAGTGGAAACCGGCAATCTAAGCCCCGGAACTTGGAGTGGCGAACCACGATAGGATCGGCGTCGTATTGAACCGGACGACAACAGAGCTGCCTATCACCTAATTTGGGTGGTGGTGGCGGAACTCGAACCTCGGACCATCGGGTCCAAGGCGCGCCGGTGACAGCGACTAAACCACTGCGCCATCACCACCCTACATACTATTTCAAGCATTCTGGTCTGATAATAAGTGACAGCATGATCGTCATTGCTGTCGGTTCGCAGCTATGGCCTTCAGTGTCTCCAACCATGCGGTTTTGGAGTCTTAAACCCCATCCCGGAAAACGAGAGACACCTACTTTACCTAATCGCTCTGTGCATTTCTTCATACCTCGTCTCCATGTCATCTGCTGGCCTCCACGTGGCTTTCTCCAGCCTGTAACAGTCACTGCAAACAAGGTGCGCTGCGGTAGGCGTCCGTCGGACATACGCAAAACGTATCCTAACCAACGGAGACTACTGAGCTGGATTCGATGGGATAGCGAGTTCTTGTTCGATGTATTCCCGAACACCCGATGAATTCTAAGTTACTAACCCGCTCACTCCATCCAATCCGGACCAGACTACGTAAGCATCGATTGTCGAAAACTGCTAAATGACGGATTTCTTCTGCCCGCAAATTCGAGGTTTCACAACCGTAAAGCAGAACTGACCACACATTGACACAGTATACGCGACTTCAACTTCAATGAAACATCACGTCGTCGCCATGTGTTTCAGTCCTGCATACGCTGCTCGAGCCTTGGGAATGTGGTTAGTTATCTTAGATGTGCTACCGTTGTTGGTCACGCAGCTAACTAAGTACGAGAAGCAGTCAACTTCAGCTAATTTCTGTCCATCTAATTTCAGAGCAGGACTGGGCAACACCCAGTCTTGTGGCATCACTTTGCACTTTGAAGGTGCACAGAACTTGCTAATCTGTCAAGTGCTCTTTGTGCATCCTCCATACATTGGAACAAGCAGACGATGTCTTCAGCGTATTCCAAGTCGCACAGCTCTTCTCCATCTGCCTATTCAATACCTACATTTTGGAGACCACTTAGTGCTTTTTCGGGCGTTTCATCTATGAGGAAATTGAATAGGAATGGCGAAGGAGGGCACCCTTGACGAACATCGCTGTTAGTTACGAACAACCTACTCAGCTCGCCGTAGATCCTTACGCTACCAGAAGTATGTGAGTAGAGTTAACTCAGTATGTTCACATATTTCTGCGCCATTCCTTTGCGAAGGAGCGAACCCATAAGGGAATTACAATCAACTGAGTCGAAGGCTAATGTAGGGTTGTATTAACATTGGTCAGACAATAGAGTAGATGTTTAGCACATCATTTCATTCAGTGTACCAAACGAATCATGGTATTAAGGTCTTTAAACAAAACCGTCGTCCCACGTTATGTACGTAGACGGAATACCCCCAGGTTGTTCAGGCCAGAGCTAACGAATGTCATTGGATTGACCACAACCAGAGCCTTAGACTAGTGAAAACATGACCTATGCTATGGATAAGTTTCTGGAAAAACGATCCTCATGCTTGACTATCAGCATCCATGCCCCCCCCCCGACAGACGGTATTGTATTGCTAAGTAGACGTCTAGTAAATTTTTTAGGTTTCTTTGTAACTTTTCTATGTTTGTGATTCGTTTCTCATCACTGTGTTAAGTTGTTCTATCTCCCAGCCTGTCTGAGAGAGGCAATCAAGTAAACGGCTACCACGGCAGCTAATTCCCATCACAGTTAAATGTTGTTAAAGCGGCTTTCGGACATCTCAATTTTTTCGCAATCTTAGAATCTTTGAATCAGCAACTTGATACTGCCCCCAGCTTTCAACTTCTGCCATTTCATGTAAGCAGGTAGTCCCAGGAAAGCAATCAAAGCCGCTACACGAAAATGGAAGGTTACCGGTTGTCTAAACTAAAAACTGTAGCTCAAGCCATCTTGGTAGTAAAAACTGCATTTCATTGAGGGTCAGCGTCTAATCAATGAATATTACTTGCGGGTCTAGACTTCAAGCCCGTCGGAAGCACTGAATATCTCAGGATA